TAACACAATTTGATTTGATATTTGGCTTAATTTCAGCCACAACCGCCATCACAAATTAGCCCTTCCTCCAGTCAGTACTATTTGCCGTCCTCATCGAGTTATGCTTATCCGCCACAGCCTCCTTCAGCTTATCATTATCAAATGCCCATTGGTCAAGCTCCGTACTCTTATCCAACCACAACATCGACATGCTCCGTTGGTTTTACCATATGCTTTGGTGGAAGCTTTTGTTGTCGAAATTGATCAATTTATCAATTGATGGAAAATGAGCAATCGGTCATTGATACAGTGGTGCTTGAATTCAAAAATTCTTTCAATTTTCTTCTTAGTGCGCTCATATTTTAAATTGTATAATGCTATATTACTTAATTTTTTTTCTTTAATTTGATTTCTGAGCAATTTTAGCAAGTTTTCTTAATCTTTTGCTTACCATATAAATTATAAAATGAGAAAAATGAAATTATTTTTATTCTTTTTTTGCTTCAGACAACCAGAAATTAAGAATAGGGTTAGTTGTTTTTAAATAACTTTATGAAATTTTAATTCAATTTTCCAACTAACATAAAATATTTTCAGTCTGTCTAAAGATTAAAATTTGATTACGAACGTTTGAAACATAATATTTGACCTTGACTTCTAAATTTACAATTCCGTCTATATCATCAAGTTATTTTTTAAACTTAAAAATTAGAATTCCAATGAAAAATATATGCGATGAAAAAGATAAATAGATGTAAATAAACGAAAAATAATCACGTTTCAATTAAAACTAACAAAAATGTAAAAGAATATGAATATTTAAAAAAATAAAGATTCTTTCATAATTCATGTTCGTTTATACTACCAAATTTTCCTGCTTAGAATGTTATTTTTTGTGCAAAAAGTGAAATGAAATTACTTTCCATTACAGACTGTATCTTTATTTGCTTTTCAACTTATAACTTTACAAAAAAATTGCACTAAAACAAATATGAATTCTTAATTCTCATTTTTGATATAATCAATATTAGAGATGAAAATGTCCGAAACAACTTATTTCCTAATACTGTCTGCTCTGCTACCATTTTAGATACTGCCATTGGATCTTAGCAAAGAATAATAATTAACATATCCGAATAAGCCAATGATAATTGCGCTTATTTTGATTTATTCGTATGTCCTAATTACTTTGTCTAAATGTAACTGTAAGCTGTTC